GGTCAATGTCATAACACTTAAAGGCCCCCAGTAACGACATCCATCAGCCGTTCTAAAGCGTGGGCACGACACCGGTGACTTGCGACGCATCTACTGCACTTGCTCTCTCTCTCTTTCTCTCACTCACAATGTTCAAAAGGACCGGAGGTAAACGCGGACGCGGCAGCTAACAATTCAGCTCTCCGTCTACGCGTGCCACACACACGACCGTCTTCCTGTCACGATTCGGGCCTCCGTAATAGCAGAAATTCTGCGATTTGTGATAATGCTCTTCCACTTATATTAAAAGTTCCGACGAAACATCAACAAACAAAAAACTTCTTCTGCTCAATATTCCGTTTAAGTTACCATCACTCAACCTGATGGCCCAGCGAACAGTAGGTACACACATTCATAAGTGAAGCTCATCAGCGATTTTCTGCAAACGATCAGTGACCTTCACCAGGCACCTTATCCTGAATCTGCCATAACCAAGTCAAACAGATAAAGTGCACAAACTAACCGAGTGTCCCAGAGCACGATCTGACCGGAATAAGTGCCCCCAATGATGAGATTGGGATGAAACTTGGCCAGCGACGCGGCAGTGATGGGCTCCGAGCAGGTGAAGATGTACTCTGGGCTTGTCTTTCGGGGAAATTTGAGGTTCCAGATCATACAGCAGCCCGCGGGTTCATGCACCACCTCCTCGTTGGGGCTGTAGGCGGCCAGCACAAGTTCGGGGTAGGTGGTAGACCAGTCCAAACCGACGACCATACGATTGCGCGACCAATGCTCGTCAAAGAAGTGCAGGCTGAAGGGCAGCAGATCGTCGCTACTGCAGAAGAAAAATGGACAGAGACATGAGTAAAAAGGAAAAGAAGGCAGATAGTCGCAAGTGCATTGAATAGGCGAAAAAAAGCACTACCGCTTATCCAGTATCTGAAGTGATGCACAGCGCCAACCTCACTCAACTCCCATAAATTGCGCCGGAAACGCAGGCATTCGAAGTAAATCCGGGTCCATTCAAAGAGGTTACCAATAAAGAATTGGTGCGCGCTGGAAGGTTCAGAAAAAAAACGCCCAATAGACTGCCGATGATGTTGTAGCGCTGGCGCCGAGCCCGCAAAGCGCACGTTACTTTGCTACTCTACCTCCTTCTATTGGCCAAGCAGGTGATCAAGCGTCCAGTGACTCACTCTCGCATTATGTTTATTCACTTACGCCCACAGCACATGAGCAGACAGACGCGCGCGCGTGCAGGGCCTGGAGCCTGCCGCGCGCCTGGGATTCAGACCACAATTGAGTTCATGTGCACAATAAACAACTCCTACTGGTCTTACCGCTCTTCTTCCTGTACATAACTG